GGAAATATGGAAGTACATTGGATGGGAGATTGGAAATATGGAAGTACATTGGATGGGAGATTGGAAATATGGAAGTACATTGGATGGGAGATTGGAAATGTGGAAGTACATTGGATGGGAGATTGGAAATGTGGAAGTACATTGGATGGGAGATTGGAAATATGGAAGTACATTGGATGGGAGATTGGAAATGTGGAAGTACATTGGATGGGACATTGAGAATAAAAAATTAGGAAACGTTCAGATAAAACGTCTTTGTATTTCATGCGCATCCCTAGAATTTTCTTGATCCCATTCTCCAAGAGCAGAAAGTCTTAATCAATAATATTTACACTTTCATAAACTACCGATCTCCTAAAATGTATATAAGAGCAATGTAAATTGTCTTCTTCGATGAGGCAAAATCAATTGTTTAAATATGGATTTTATATTCGTTTTTTTACCGAGTAAGATAAATAATAAACATCACCTCCTATTCTATAAACTATAGAGGTAACGTAACCTCCAATTCTACACACTATAGTGATAACGTCACTTTTATTCTAATAACTATAGTGAAAGTATTTTAGTTAAATAAAAAATGATTTTGCTTTAAATTAACTAATAAATATTCATTAACTATTTAGTATGTTAATCGATGCTTCATAACTAACCTCAGTGGAAGAACTCCGACCTCCTTACAAATCTTCTTATAGTAGCGAACTGCAGCGCGTCCTTTGCCTTCTGTCTTGTCTGTTTGTGTGTCCATGTTTAAATACTTAACTGGTTGTTTTAAAAACTAAACAGGTAAATTGATTAACTAATACTCTTTTAATATTAGTGAACAAATTGCCCGATGAAATCGCAACACTGTTGTTAAAAACCCCTAACCCTAGAATTGTTACAAATAACTTGCCTTCACAATTGTTACAAATAACTTGCCTTCACAATTGTTACAAATAACTTGCTTTCGCAATTGTTACAAATAACTTGTTTTCACAATTGTTACAAATAACTTGTCTTCACAATTGTTACAAATAACTTGCCTTCGTAATTGTTACAAATAACTTGCCTTCACATTTGTTACAAATAACTTGCCTTCACAATTATTGTTACAAATAACTTGCCTTCGCAATTGTTACAAATAACTTGCCTTCACAATTGTTACAAATAACTTGCCTTCACAATTGTTACAAATAACTTGTCTTCACAATTATTACAAATATATTGCATTCGCAATTGTTACAAATAACTTGTTTTCACAATTGTTACAAATAACTTGCCTTCAGTTACAAATAACTTGCCTTCACAATTGTTACAAATAACGTGTCTTCACAATTGTTACAAATAACTTGCCTTAACAATTGTTACAAAAAACTAGTCTTCACAATTGTTACAAATAAATTGCCTTCACAATTGTTACAAATAACTTGCCTTCACAATTGTTACAAATAACTTGCCTTCACATGTATTACACATAATTAGTATCTTTCTACGTCAAATTGTGTGCATACATTTAGCAGAATTTTTATTTTTGCAAATCTTGCCACACAAATTGAGTAATATACTTGTAAAGATTTGGTTAAAAAAAAACGTAATATGCTCATCATTGAAAATCTTTGATGACCACGCCAAACGTTTCCCCATCAGATCGCTAGAATTGGTCTTCACGAACGCCTACATAACAGAGTCTGAGCATGGTATGTGACAGAGTCGGTCGATCCATCCAGAGAGGAAATTAAGTAGGGGCTTGTGGCACGGGCTAAGCTTCTTCGGAATGCTGTTTCATATGATTCTATTGATTGCATTTAATATGGTTTAGTGGCCTCTTTCAAAGTAAAGGGATGTTTCATTATTATGAAACCACATCTTTATGTCTTTCTTTCTTTTTTTAAAATGTATCTTATATGATATCTCACCTTTCAGTACATATATCATACGTATACATTTTCATCTGTCAATAAAGATGCCACATGTTGACACTCTCATCTGTAAGTACATATAACATTTGTTGACATTCTCATCTGTCACCTCGACTTCCCATTGAGATCTTTCTCTTCAAAAAATTGAAGTGAAGTTAAAAATATAGAAGTAGGCAGAAGAACCGATTGGTATTTTCATTAAAATTGTAACCAAACTTTTTGCATTCTCTATATTATCTGAAAAACGGAAACGACAGATTTATTTTTTTTTTCTAAAGACTAATATCTTAACCCACTTTCCACGTCTGCAACAGCCTTACGTGTTTTTAAAAAAGAACTCTTATTAATCTCATGCAAATTTATACCTAATTTTCACGTACTTTACTTTAAGCAAAGAGGAAACATAAAGAAAGAAAATCTTAACCATTTTCTTCACTCCCATGAATTGTAAAGGACAAAAGAAATATGGCTCTAGTTTTCGTTTCAGCACAAGGTAAATTAATTAGTCCCTTATTTCGTGGAAGATGTTGAAGGCACCTTATGGTCACCCAAGAACGCTACGGGGGGGGGGGGGGGGGGGAGAGAGAGGTGTGATCGTCCCATTTCTTGGGATTTAAGAAGGTTCTGTCGTGGTATCAACAGCATGGGGGTGACCAGTCTTACCGCTTGAGAATCTATTGTCATGCTGCAGAAAAACTTCCCTTGACGAATCATTTCACGAGATACTGACTTCCCATTCCAGTCTCACTCACCTGATCTTATGCTAGCTCAACGGTTCTCAACCTGTGGGTCGCGACCCATTTGGGGGTCGCGGGACCCTTTTCCATGGGGTCGCCTAAGACCATCTGAAAACACATATCCTTACAGCTATGAAGTAGCAAAGGAAATAATTGTCTGGCTGGGGGTCGCCACGACACGAGAAACTGTATTAAAGGATCGCTGCACTAGAAAGGTTGAGAACCACTGTGCTAGCTGATGTCTACGTGAGGGATGTTAAAAGGGAGTGTGTGTTCAACTGTGAAGAACTGTGCCTGCATTACATGAAAAGATATTCCCATCTTGCAGGTGTCTACCTCAAACATCGTTCAGTGTTATGTTTGAAAAAGCAAGGCGGTGCACACTACGAACAATTACGTAGCGGCAGACCATGGTGAATCAACATGCTGATGGTGTGCAGTTTAGTTTCTTTCAGGAGAAATACGTTTACAGGTGACTACACGGAACTATTCTCCCGTCGTTACTCTTCAGAACGGTTAATTTTTGGCGAATGCTCTACTCATAACTTTATTAATACTCAATAGGCATCTTAATATAAATGTTGAATCCACAGCCGAATTTTTTTCACAATCTTCGTCTTAATTTTCTATTAATTCTTGATTAATTTCTTCTCACGTGGAGAAATACAAGCCTCCCTGGACTTCCATATGAAGGGTTCAAGGGAAAAACCAGCGATGTCAGTTTTTCAAAATTTCTATGTTTTCTCCCTTGTGGCTACATTCCATTTAATAGAATAATATGATACATAGGTCCAACTGTAAAAGCAGCGTAGTCAATAAATAAATACGTAGACATCTTGATATTTTCATACTTTTTTAAGGAATTTTCAAACTTTAAATTCAATTTTCTCAAAACTCTCAAAACCTGACATCACTGGTTTTTCCATTGAGCCCTTCATATGTCTCCTCAACTCCCACATAAGTCTCATGGACTCCAATATAAGTCTCCTGGACTCCCATATATCTCTCCTGGACTTCCATATAAGTCTTCTGGACTCACCTATAAGTCTCCTGGACTCCCATATAAGTCGCCCGGTCTACCATATAGGCCTTAAGTCTCCTGGAATCCCACTGAGATGAACGTTTTAAAAGGTACAGTTGTACTTTTGGAAAGGTCAACTAACACAGAAGTTGACCAACGGAGTCACAAGTTACGAACAAAAGAATGCACACAAAAAAATGAAAAAATAACTGGGGGTTGCTGTTTCAGGAGAGAAAGGTCAAATAATACGCCAGGGTTCATGTTGACACACTTGCCGGTAAACTGGAAGACCCCAGTGACAAGCATCTAAAACTTGAAAGGCATTGTGACATACCCCTACAGCTGACTTGCGACGAGAACCCGCCTCTCCCTCTGGAGATGCTCTAAAAGGACCAAGTGTAAAGTAATATGTATGTCATTGTTACGAACCGATTCTTCCCAAAGGTTCGATGGGTTCGTTCTGTCTAGGGCAGTGGTTCTCAACCTTCCCAATGCCGCGGACCCTTTAATACAGTTCCTCATGTCGTGGAGAGCCCCGGCCACAAAATTATTTTCGTTGCCATTTCATAACTGTATAACATATGTATTTTCAGATGGTCTTAGGGAAAGGGTCGTGCGACCCCCAAAGGGTTCGCGACCCACAGGTTGAGAACCGTTGGTCTAGGGGTTAATTATATTCACTTCAAAAACCATTGATTATTAATATTAAAATACACTTTCTTTTTTAACTAAATCTCAACTGGCATTACTCACAAGACCACACTACACATTAATAATACGCCATTTACCTTTCGCGCAATAGGTCACAAAATATCAAACATTTAAAAACAACATCTAGCCAAATAGGCCTACTCTCCAAAACACCAATCGCAATATACATTCAAGTCCTTAACAGTCATCTTGGTAAAATAATTAGTCATATTTTATCTCTTCATTTTGTAACGCTGAACTAATTATCGTTTCTCATCTAAACGGAGGATTTTGTTCCAGAAGTGACATCAAAACTGGCTGTAACCACAGACAAGCAGCCTAAAATATTAACATAGTTTTAAAAATCGTGTGTTGAGAGGGACAGAATAGATTTAAAGTCCTTATATAGTCAAGAACCTTGGTGCTCTTAAATTAGTCCGCTAGGAAATGGTAAACATGGAACAGATCTTCTGTATTAAAAAAAAACAAAAACAACTAAAGATGAATTGAATGTTAAAGTGCTGTTATCCAAGCAGTTCTGGTCGTTAATCCCTTTCTCACAAAGTTGATCAACAAAATCACGCTTAAAATCATATCCGAAAATCCCACCAAAAAAACCTACCAATGGGGTCAAAGGTAAAATAAACAAACTTTATTGTTTGAAAAAAATGTTTAATTAACTCCAAGGTGAAAAGACCGTTACAATAATAAGTCTACATAAATATCACAGCAAAAGAGTTCAGTCTATTCAATATCAGCATTTCATATCAGTTTTGAAAAGTGTGTTGTTTAATATACAAACTAACTCATCAATGAATGCATTATTTCAGGACTTTAGAATTCTTTTTTCAATAGTCAATAGTGATAAAAATATTCGTTGAATTTGAAATGTTAGATGAAATGTACATGAACTAAATCTAAATCGATTGAGGTTTTTATTTTTCATTTCTTTATCAGTTAAGTAAAATTTTGTAGCAAAAAAATAAATACACGGCTCTAACTACACAAATATTTAGATTTTGTTTAATTGGAAATAATGATTGACAGATATAAAAAACAATTTATTTCATTTTTTTAAATTATATTTCATGATTATACTTTTTTTTTTAAAGACTACCTACATAATATGTGATTTAAAAAACAAAAGCTGATGCAGTTAAATGAAAAATAAAACAACAGGGCTAGAAGCATGTCCTAAATGAAATAAGTGTCAAGGTAGGCTAGTGACCTTGACATGTTAAATCTGAAGTTAGTGAGGCAATCCTTACATTCAACTTTTAGAATGCAATGCCCATCAAGTTTTAAGCAAATGCACTTTTGCACACATTGCCTATAATCCTCAACTGTATACATTTTCATGTAAAACATATTTTTTTCCCAGGCATAAAATGTAAAATAAATTATGCATGCATTTGAATACTAATGTTGCGTAAAAGAAGAACAGTAAAAATCTACACAATAGTTTTGCAGCCTTTTCTTTATGTTCTTAGAGTAAGTTTTTAAAAATTGACATGAATTTCAAAATCTTTTAAAATAGTGAATTTTAGGGCTATTTCACCAACAGAGCTTAGCCATTAAAATTCACTGCACACAAGATCAATAATTCAAATGTATAATTTATGTTCTAATAGTAAAATCATTTTTTTTTAAACATTGTGATGAGTGTCCATATTTGAGCTTATATTGGAGGATAACAAAATAAACTTTAGTTGCCTCATTTGCAAGAAGAAAAAAATAGTTGCCTCATTTACAAGGCAAAAAAAAATAGTTGCCTCGTTTACAAGAATAAAAAAAAAAGTTGCCTCGTTACAAATAGAAAAAAAAAATACTTTAAAAATACCTTACTGTCTGATGGAATACTATTTCCCTGTATAACATTTAACTATTATGAGAGGCACGCACACATGAAAGGTAAAATTCATCAAAACAAAGATTGAATCACTTTCATATCATTAAGGTGGGCCTTGCAAAAACGTTTTGGTACAAAACAAAACGTTTTGGTACAAAACCTTCATGTCATTGATTTTATAAAGGTTTAATAATCTTATTAACGAGAATTGAATAATTATAAATTATTTTGTGGTTCACACAGTGGTTTTCCAACTGGGACTTGATAAAATAACACAAATAATTTACAAATTTTTTATTATATTCTTTTACAACCAATAGTAGAAGGCCTAGGCTTTATAAATAAAATAAAAAATAATTCGTTATTTAAAATAACGAAAAACCAAAACACAATCGTGATTGCTGGTAAAAATGATGTCTTGAACTTCCAAGACAGAAATATTTAATATTTAAAAAATTTGGTGTAGGGCCCCTACAAGCTGGAAATAGCTGCATGTCTGTGGACTGGTGACTAAAAACCACAGGTTAAGAGTTTTGCTTTTCTAAATGAATTTGGCTTTCTCTTTAATTTTTTAAAATTAATTTGAGCATTTCTATTGCTGTTTAGTACAAACTCCAAAGCTTTCTAAAGGTGTCTTGTGTCCAGTTGGTGTGCTTCGTACAGCAGAGCTACAAGAGAAAGATATTTAAAAAAAACAAATTCACCATAACAAAAATATTAAAATGTTGTTTTTAAAAATAATTCAAATAATTTCTCCCCCTATTACTAAGTTGACTAGAGCAGACTCTCAATATATTTGTAAGAAATATACACCAGGTAGAGATAAACCTGAAGAAAGACAATACAAAAATTGGATGTTTCAGCAATATGACTCTACAAGTCCATGACTCTACAAGTCCATGGCTCTACAAGTCCATGGCTCTACAAGTCCTTGGCTCTACAAGTCCATGGCTCTACAAGTCCATGGCTCACCAAGTCCATGGCTCTACAAGTCCATGGCTCTACAAGTCCATGGCTCTACAAGTCCATGGCTCTACAAGTCCATGGCTCTACAAGTCCATGGCTCTACAAGTCCATGGCTCTACAAGTCCATGGCTCTACAAGTCCATGACTCTGAGGTTTTAAAAATGTTTATTTTTTATGGTTTGTCTTAATAAGGCATTTAAGAAAACTGAAGGGTTCTAAGAGGTCTAAAACCAGGCAGACTTAATGTCAAAGTATGTCATTGGACAGTGTCATGTTTATATGGTTAAATTTATGGTTTTTAATATTTGTTTTTTATATTTTTCAAATCAATGACATTTGGAGCAAATAAAAGAAATGTGATCATTATGACTGATTTTCCCCAGCACAACTTCACGGTTGTAAGCTTGAGGATTTAAAATAAAAAACTGATTTTTTAATTTATTTAAACATAGAAAGGAAGCTGAATAAAAGATATTAATTTTAGTAGCGGAATAAAGCTGGGAGTGTTAGCAGAGCACCAGAGTAGTGCATTGGGCATTTGTTACTTCACGCAATTTTAAAAATGTGGGAATGACACAACTTAACCTTCTGAATGTAGACATGATTGGAACAATGTAGGTTTTGAAACTAGTATAAGTATGAGTAAAATATATTTCAAAAAATGTATTGCTGATTGTTGGCTCAAGGTTTATCAATATGACATTTCCATAAATAGAGATACTTGCTTTTTATCACGGATTTCAATGGTGCCAACTGAAATTGAATTTCTATAGAAATCCATTTTTTTACTTTCATCCATCACTTCTTCATTTCCATGTTCATCCAAAATAACCAACATCAATTCTTCTGGAGGTGGAACACGAAGTTGAACATCAGAAAGAATTCTAACTTTTTCCTGTTTAAAAATTGATAATATGGCTTTCATTGGAAATTCTTCTTTTTAAAAATGTTAGGTCTTGTAAAATTAATGTTAATTAGGGACTGAAATGAAAATGACTACAGTATTTATAATTGCATTGATGGTAGTTCATTCAGTCTTTATTCATTGCCATTTAAAGGAGAAACTTTTAATAAAAGTGTAAAAAGTATATTACCTTTAACATCAAATTCTAAATCCAACAAAGATTTTAACATACTACAATGTTGTTTAATTAAATGAAGTCATAGAACTTAATGAAAAAAATTAAGTTAATAGACTAAATTGAATTACCCTTGATACATCTGTTTTTGTCCGCACAACAAAGTCTCTTTTTATAGTGCCATTGGGCAAAACCAATTTAGTCATCATGTGGTCATTGTCAGACTCTGAAATAACAGAAGATGTTGTTAGAGAAGAAAAAGTTGTGTAGGAAATAATTCATAACTGAAAAGGTTTGTAAGCCTTATAGTACATAGTTATTGATTGTAAATTATGTTTGCATCAGCACAAGAGCATGTTATTTTTCACAAGTGAAATAAATTGAGGCCATGGTGTTAAAAACAAACCATACTACTTCATTATTCTTCTCAGTTAAAGACAGCATGACATAAGAAATAGTGTAAATGAGAATGGAAAATAGAAAATATAGAAACAGTTTTATTCAGTGGTGTAGCTAAAGCTAGTGTGAAGCTGGGGCAGGCCAAGCTCCAAATATTAAGAGAAAATATTGACTGCCAAGGGGGACTGCCCCATCTAACCCCACTTCCTATGCTAATGGTTTCATTCATTATATTAGTATTACCATATTCATCACCCATTTTCTTTGAGAAAAATCTGAAAAGAAAAGCAAAAGGAAAATAACATTAATAATTAATAATATCATGAATTTTGAACCCTATAAAGATGCCAGCACTGCAGTTATGCCTATGCCTACTTCTTTTGATAACTAATAGGCCTATTTTATGATATAAATATAGGTGAAGTAGACCTACTTCTTTTGATAAATAATAATTTATAATTTTATATATGTGCAATATGCACACTGCATAGGCCTACTTCTTTTGATTTTTTGTTAAACAGTATTTCAAATTTGTATTTATTTATAGGTGCTATATTCTGGTTAACAATGAGTATTTCTTCCATTATAAGTATTGGCTGATCACTGATGACAAATAATAATATTATTATATCAGTATGGTATATTATTAATCATTTCATAAAGTTAAAGTGATCACTCTGTATTTATGATACAATATAGCCTATTATTTTATAGCGTAGCCTAATAATAATAAAAATAGCATTATTGATTTATTAGCAAAGTGCACAAATTAAATTTAACTAACTTGTTTGGTTTTAAACCAACATGTTCAATGTTGGGATATCTTTTTTATAATTATTTAGCGCTGCATTAATTTATAAATAACAAAGTGAAACTTTGTTCATGAAGCTATTTGACAACAAAAACACCTTCAAGTAACAAATCTTGTCTTGATTTTTCAAAGCACTGAGTCACTGAGAGTAGCCTACTGAGTCAGACGTAGCAGTAGTACGTAGAATCGGCTAGGTAGAAATAAAGTTTTATAACAAGACGGTTAAACCCCACTCAAAAAAATTAATTAACACATATAATTGTTTGGTTTTTTTTTTAAGTTGCCTATATTTGATGGTAAAATCTATAGACACATGTACTGTTCTAAAATATTTAAAATATTATGCAGTTAATGATACTGATACGAACCACAGGCGTTTCGGTTTTGGTTTCGCTAAGGCCGAAGACAGGCCAAGCAGGCTAAAGCAAACAGAACACTCAAACTATAATTAATAATATTTTTTATTTTAAATTCTTATGCTCGTGGCTGTGTGTGGGTTGCGACTAGGCGTCATAAGCAAACCTATAATCGGCAATATAATCTGACATAGGCCCTGCATATAGAATGTTACATACGCCTGCCACACTACGGTATTAAATTATTTTATTTCCTTTTCAGTTGCGTCCACTGACTTTTTCTTGGCAAAGCTGCAGCTGAACGTTCCGATCTCGCCCACGGCTTCCAAGAAACAAAACAAAAATTATTTGGCCAAAGGGAATTCCCGCACATCTTTTCCCTTCTCATTTGAAAGAAAAGAAAGGAAGACATGAATATGATGGGGCGATCTTGTAACATTTGTTTATTTACGTTAGATTTCTGTTTTTTTTTGGGTTTTTTTTTTTTTTTTTTTTTTTTTTTTTTTTTTTTTTTTTTTTTTTTTTTTTTTACATTATTGAGATTACTCTACTCTAACTACTTAAGTAGGCGGAGTAAGAGAACATGACTTTGCAAAACTGTTCGCCTCAGGACTTTTATTTATATAACCTTACTTTGGTATTTTCTCGATTGTTTCTTGTTTTCTTTTTTTTTTTTTTTTTTTTTTTTTTTTTTTTTTTTTTGTTTTTTTTTTTTTTTTTTTTTTTTTACACAAGAAGAAAAAAAAATTAATTATAAATTTTAAAAAAAAAAAAATAAAAATAAATGCTATTAGCTTAAATGCATCGAAGTTCAAACTTTACTGCCAATGAAAGTGCCAAGCTAAGGCCCAAGGCCAAAGTCAAAGTGAAGGTGGTAAAATATTTATTGAATTTTTATTTTTTTACATTATTGAGATTACTCTACTCTAATTAATTAAGTAGGCTTATTATTGAAACATGACTTTGCAAAACTATTCCTCTCATGACTTTTAAAACAAAAACCAAACAATGATAATTTCTCGATTATTTCATGTTTTCTTTTTCAATGTGTACGAAAGAGAAATTTTAAAACATATTCATATTTTTTTAGATTTGAGTCTGCCGTATATTAATAATGTATTGATTAATAACTTATTTAATAAGCCTTCTCAAATAAAGACATCCACTCAGCTAAATAAAGTATAGAACAAATCATCGATATAGAGATGATTTAAAACATAAGAATGTTGTCCAGCAGACGTGGCCCTGCCAAGTGATTTTGGGCCTCCAAGCAAATTATTAAAATCGAAGTGGCCATTATCACCCGGGTACCAAAAGTGAAAAGTTGGGATTAAAAAACTAGGTTTATTTAAAAAAATATTTAAAAATTATTGTAGGGTTTGTAAGACAAAATTTGGTATCAAATGAAATATAATTGAATGGACTATTTGTTTGTAAACGTACTTCTTAAGTTTGACTAAAATAAACAACCACAAATGACATTCGAATAGCTTTTAGTCAAAATGGAACCGGAAACGCATCGTCGCTATTCGGACCCGTGTCCCTTTAGACTTCATGCTATTCGGATGTCCTAATTTGTGGTAGTTTATTTTAGTTAAACTGAAGAATTTAGTTTACAAACATATAGTCCATTCAATTATCTTTCATTCGATACCAAATTTTGTCTTACAACCTTACAATAATAATTTTTTCTTTCTTTTTTAAAATTTTAATCCCAACCTCTAACTTCTGGGACCTGGGTCCGATTAGCCCAGTGGTTCTCAACCTTCCTAATGATGCGATCCTTTAATAGAGTTTCTCATGTTGTGGTGACCCCCCAGCCACAAAATTATGTTCATTGTTACTTCATAAATGTAGAGCATATGTGCTTTCAGATGGTCTGAGGCGACCCCCTGGGAAAGGGTCGTGCGACCCCCAAATGGGTCGCGACCCACAGGTTGAGAACCGCTGGATTAGCCACTTCGAAAAAACAATTTAAAATATTATTGTTGGGTTTGTCAAATGAGTTATCAAATGAAAGACAAATTGAATGGACCATATGTTTGTAAGCTTAGTTCTTAAGTTTGACTAAAATAAAGTACCACAAATGATATCCGAAAAGCTTTTAGTCTAAATGGAACCGGCAAGGCATCGCCGCTATTCGGACAAGAGTCCCATAAGACACATTTTTCTCGAGGAGGGGGGTGGGGGGTGGGTGGGGGGGTTGCACTTGACTTGCTCCGGGGGGGTGGACGTAGTGCCTCCCCGACCCAAGAGATGCCCGAGAGAAACACTGCGCATTGATAAAAGCCATTTTATTAAACCATGTTTATGTTTTAAAATGAAAAGAATGTGTATTGAGTAGTCCAAGGTTCCACATGAGTCAAGTGAAAGGAAAGGCAGATTATTTTGAAGGTCAAAGTTCAGTCTCCATCACGCTGGTTTGCGCTTTTTCGTGTTTTGCTTGAATCTCAATTTTTTTTGTGCGACGCATTTTTTGAGGTTATTGTTAAGTATACTATCGTGGTTTCTTGGTTTTTTGTCTTTTCTTCACTGTCGTTCCGTTGGACCTGATCAATCTTCCTCTTATATTCCTGGTTTGAATTTCAAGTTTTGCTGATGATTGACGGTTGTGAATTGGATAAAACGTTGTTTTTTTTTTTTAGAACACAGACAAAACAAATTGCTAATTTGTAATAGAAAAACGCATTTTGTCCATCCAATATAAAATTGTTTATTTAACCGTACACTATTTTATTTCAATTCGACATAAGAATATCTTTGAAATATTAACTGTACATAATTGATGATATTACAACAAATGCGAATTTAGATGTTTTTGACTTTTTTGGGACACCCCCCCCCCCCCCCCCCCCAAAAAAAAATTATTATTTTTTCGTTCGTACAGAAGCTTTTAGCCCCCATCCACATAAAGACACCAAAGAAATCAAATAATTTAATGAAAACTTGTGACATCACATGAATAAAAAGAAAAATGTGTCATGGGTGTATATTCCCCCGACAGTTTGGCCAGCCCAGTGGTCCCCATAATATGCGTCTTTCTGATTACCATGTTGCCCTCGGGCTGAGACATGAGAATGAAGCGAAGAGGAAAGTCGCCAAAATCTTCTTTAGATAGGATCTTAATAGTGAATTGAAATATCAAATCCCATATTCTTCAGAATGACCGGGGGGTGGGGGGGGGGCTAAAAATCGTCTTTTTTACTGATCAGCCCTGGGGGCAATTTTCCGATAAATTAATGGCACCATTTTCCAGCTTCGCCCCAGGTGCAGCATTTCCTCAGCAGCGAGCAACCAACAGTCAAAACTGGATAGAATAAAAATAGCACTTAGCTAAAAAGTCGTATACGAGAGGGCGGCAAAAGAATGGTGAAAACCTAAATTTGGCACAAGCCCCGGGATCGAAACATTACAATTATGAGAACCACTGAACAAGCACATTGAAGCTACAGTGCACGAACGTATTACTGTAATACTGCCACTACTGAGTACGATTGAAGCGATAACTTGCTAGTTCATTTTTGAACGATAATTCCTACACAACATCGTGTCATACTTTTTTCAGCATTTGGGATGCAAATATTCAATTGTTTGACTGTCAGGTGGAGCTGAAACTGTTCAGTGCGCTTGCCTTTGCGGAGATATAGGATAAGACAAATGGAAATTGGACAAAATTGGTACTAAATACGGACGTCTGGTAACCCTATGCTAAGAGAAAGTTCTGTTTTCTTCAGCAGGGATATATAAAGAATCTGAACGCTTATGAAATAAAAGTACAGGTCCGTTGATTTCTACTCTTTCCTGAGCATTTTCTCTGTCTCGTCTAGTTATTTGTATAAGTTCCATGAAGTTTTTGGGCTATTCTGGAAATTTCGTGTTTTTTTTTCATCTAAAAGCGCTTAAAGATAATACAAACATTCTTATTATCTTTCCACAACTTTCAATGAGTTTCCTCGAATGTTTAAGCAATACGAATTAAAATTAATGTTGGACATTCCAAATTAATTGTCCCTTATTATGGCCTAAAATACACAGAGATATTACTGTATACAGGATTCCATCGGGAACGGGATTTCATCGAAAAAGGGATTACACTGGTAACGGGATTCCATTGGCAAATGAGATCACACCTGGAGGGGATCCTATGTGGAAATGGCTGAATATAAGTATATGTATATATATATATATATATATATATATATATATATATATATATATATTGAGTGAAAAAAATATTGTTTCTATATTAATGGATGAATCTTGACCTAACTTGGCACACATATCCATTGTTATCAAGAATAAAAAAAACTGAGGGTGGGGGAGGAGGGGGGGGGGGTTGGGGTGTGTGATTTTCAACAAATATTCCGTTTTTGACCGGTGGTCCTAAATTATTATTTTTTTCTTATATGAGTTAAATAAATACAGTTACAAACAAATACTCCTAGATCTAGGCCAAACTTGCAACACAACACACGTGATTATCCATATTAAATTACTGGTGGATTCCGAACTTATAATATCAACCTCTTCGGGGTTGGGGGTGCTTTTATACTTTTTTTCTTACATGAGATATATACAAAATTAGTATCTTAGTTAATAAGAAGGCACACTTTCGCATGAATTGATCGCTCTAGGTTAAACTTTGACCCTTAAATGTCCATGATGAAATATCGGTGAATTTTAAAGTAATATCGGGGCTGATATAGACTTTTCCATAAAGTTCGACAATTTAAATGCTATATTGTAACCAATTGTAATGGGACAACGGTTTAGTTTTAATTCTTTTACTTTTACGATTGATTTTGTTATGTCCCACTATCTTAGGCATAATGAAAACGGCACCTATTGAAATGGGCCCCCACTGGGGCCCCTCTTTTATCTTAAATGAAAAAATAGCTATAGTAGTGGCATTTTGTTGTAGGTTTGTTCATCTTCGAAACATAATTTCATTGAAGGCTTTAGATGGGTTTTTTTTAACCGTTTTTTTTTCTAGAGAAAATGTGGCTGAAATTAATGTTATTTCATCATTTTTATTATTCTTATTTATTTTACGCTAATTATTTCTATGAAATACTTTATTCATAAATAATAATTTTAAATCATTAACCATGTGTTTTTTTCTGAAATAATTAATGAGAAAATGAAATGATACGCCACCTTCTTTATGCCAATAGTTACATTTATTACCGTTTCTGTATATGGAAAATAACACCATAGCATATTTAAA